CGTTCAAACATGTGATTTGATGTTACTCCCGTGTGTGTCAAGGTCACCTGAAGGTCAGGTCAGGTCATTGACCTTTGGTGACCTCGGGTGACCTCGGTTCACTTTTTCGAGTTTTACATGTTTCTAGGCTAGTTTTTGGAGCTGATTTCGAATTTAGCAACCATTTGAACATTTACGAAGTAGTTTTGGTGACTTCGTAACATGTTACGAAGCTGTCAGAGGCGGTTGACACGTACTACGAATACCCGTCACGACGCCTACTGGTTGACCTGACCTGACCTGACCCGACCTGGTCTAAATGCTTCAAGACATCATCTGTGATCAAAACTAACACGATATTCGTGATCAGCACCCCGAAAAACCCCTTAGCAGCCACGCTTTACGACTTTCTAACAGGTCCCGATTTTCCCGACTTTGGGTCATTGACCTGACCTGGAAGGTCAACCAATGACCTAGGACCTTAAAATTGGGTATCATCGGCTTCCTCTCGTCACGGGCAACACGCTCGTTTTTTCCGCGAAGCTCTAGCTCGATCAGGGGCCAAACGGCAAGGGGGGGGGGGGTCCAACCGACCCCCCCCCTACACATTAGAAGCTGACAAACGCCGCACACATGCGAGGGTTAACACATTAGGTTAATTTTTAACTTCAATGTTGAATGTTAAAATTTTGATCCGTTTTGATCCGGGTTCAACCTTCAATTCCCAAATCCGGCCCGCCCATATCCGTTCTTTTTTAACAAATTTAGAATCCAATCCTATCCGGTCCGCGGATTTATCCGTGGATAACGGATTTATCCGGCCCATGAAGTGCTCTACGGTACAGGGTACACACGGATAAGGTCTACAATTTTTACAGAGGTCATTTTCAGGTCAGGTCAAAGATGACGTCATAGGGGTAAAAAGGAAGTCAAAATAGTTTTGGCTGTACCTTTTGATCTAATAAAGAAAGAGACGTGGAACAGGCACCATTGTATTTGCTTTGGCCTAGCGCCAGTTTGCTTTGAATTTCGATATCGATGACCTAAGGTCAGGTCAATTTCTTGACCATCCCATTAATAGTCAATTGGGGAAAAATCGGCTCGCTTACTTTTAAACTAAAACACGTCGCAATCGCCTATTATACCATGAGTGACTTCATATAGGATTAACTTTGAGACCCTTTTTTGCTCTTGGGCAACTGTAAGGTCATGCGACGTCATTAAAGGTCATCAAAGGTTTTTTGCTAATTACTCCTTACAGATTTGAGATACAGATGCGCGGATGGACTCATTGTGCTCAGCTTGTCAAGGCGCATCGAATGATGTATATGATGACCTTAGGTCACGTGACCTAAGGTCAACTTTTGACCTTGACCTTTCGAGGTCAACATACATATGTTTCGATGCGGATCGATGAGAGGATCACCATGGTGCTATTAGTTTGTTCCTAGCTGGGATACCTTGAAGGTTATCCCGGCAGTTGCTGGGGTATTTCGCCACCCACCGTTTGCTGGGGGGGGGGGGCGTTAAACGCCCCCAGCCGATAACTCGAGAACCAATAGGCGCAGCGAAACGCACGAGGCGGCAAACGAAAGAACGCGACGAGACGCTTCAGATGAGTACTTTAAAGTTGAATTTTGAGGTCACAGGTGGGGTCAAGGTCAGGTCAAACACCTGAAATCGGGCTTTCAGTAGCATGGACTTCAGGACTTCGCAATTGGCGCCTCTCGTCATAAACTCTGTCAAAACGGTGCACAATCCATCATATAAGGCCTACAAGAGTGTCAGCTCCATGTAAAGGTCAGTCAAGCATAGGTCAGGGTCAAGGTCAGGTCAACCGGGTAGGCAAATATCCCCGAAAATCAAAACTGATATTCGCAGCCTGTGACACATGTTTTATGGGTAATTTGAGGCGTAGAACACGATGGTGACATTCATTTTATCAGGGGGGGATCCAGGAAAACTCCAAGGGGAGGGTCATGAATCGAAGTGGTGCCCCTACCTATACCCAAAATTAAAAACTCAACGGATTTCGTCCACTTCATTTTGGTGGTGCCCCCATTTTCAGTTTTTTTTTATTTTCATTTTTCATTTTTAGTCAGTATCTTAACTCTTAGCCACAACCACATTTACCAATTGTAAGCAAGTATATATGAATGTGCTATGTGTATATGTATATGTTGTGGACGCTGAGTAGTGAGTACTTACCAGGAACGTTATCAGGTAAGCAAATCGTTGTCAGTCCGACGAACTTGACACTGGCGTCTAAAGGGTCTGTCCTTGACACTTCAGGCTTGTCAGGGGCACCAAAGTCCTTCCAGGGACACCACAAACCTGTCAGGGGCACCTATGGCCTTGTAGGGGCGCCACAGGCCCGCCAGGAAGCAGGGGCGCCACAGGCCCGCCAGGAAGCAGGGGCACCACAGGCCTAGCAAGGACACTACAGGCCTGTCAGGGGCACAACGGGCCTGCTGGGCCCATGAGCACCCCTAGGGGCAGGGGCACCACAGTCCTTCCAGGGGCACCGCAGGCCTGTGAGGGGCACCAGCGGCCTAGCAGGGGCACCACTGGTCCATCAAGGGCACCACGAGCCTGTCATAGCCAGGCATCTCAGGCTTGTCAAGGCCCAGGGGCACCACAGGTCTGTGAGGGGCACCAGCGACCTAGCAGGGGCACCAGTCAACACAGGTCTGCCAGGGGCGCCACAGACCTGCCAGGGGCACCACAGACCTGCCAGGGGCACCAGAGGGCTGCCAGGGGCACCACCGGCCTTGCAGGGGCACCTTGGGCCTGTCAGGGGCACCACGGGCCTGCCGAGGGGCACTTCAGACTTTTCAGGGGCACCAGTCCTCTCCGGGCGCAGGGGCACCAGAGGCCTGCCAGGGGCACCAGCGGCCTAGCAAGGGCACCAGAGGCCTGCCAGGGGCACCACAGGCCTAACAAGGGCACCACGGGCCTGTCAGGGGCACCTCAGGCTTGTCAGGGCCCAGGGACACCACAGTCCTTCCAAGGGCACCGCAAGCCTGTCAGGGGCACCAGAGGCCTGCCAGGGGCACCACAGGCCTAGCAAGGGCACCACTGGCCTGTCAGGGGCACCTCAGGCTTGTCAGGGCCCAGGGGCACCACAGTCCTTCCAGGGGCATTACAAGCCTGTCAGGGGCACCAGAGGCCTAGCAAGGGCACCACAGGCCTGCCATGGACACCACAGGCCTGCCAGAGGCACCACCGGCCTTGCAGGGGCGCCTCAGGCCTGTCAGGGGCACCACGTGCCTGCCGGGGACACTTCAGGCTTGTCAGGGGCGTTACAGTCCTGTCAGGGCCCAGGGGCACCAGGCCCGTCGTGTCCCTGCTAGGCCTGTGGTGCCCCTGGCGGTCCTGTGGTGCCCCTGTCAGGACTGTGATACCCCTGATAGGCCGGTGGTGCCCCTGGCAGGTCTTTGGGCCCCCGGGCCTCAAGGGGGGGGGCCATGACCCATGTGACCCCCCCTTGGATCCGCCCCTGCATTTTATCATATGTGTACGTATTTGGCTCAAAAAGTTAAATTAAAAAAAAAATGCATATATCATGGTGGTGAAGTAGTCACGAGAAATTTCCGAGATTCAGTTCAATATTTTGGAAAATGCGGAACGATAATCAATAATCGAAGATAGCCATTTGATTGTTCATGGTATTGGCAGGCAGTCTAATGGCGTTTACGGCATGTCTGTATGTCTATTCTGTGATTTTATATGATTTTTTGAACATATGCCGTTTTTGGTCGAAAACTCAGAAATCATGACGTCACTAAAACCTCGATATCTCAAAAATTTCCCGATCGATTTTTTTTTTAATTTGTCTCCATAAACTTCAATCAATTCTCTACAGGTACCCAAAATTTGGCGCGCCTACGGCGCGCCGTTTTTATGCTATGGCCCGGCGAAAAAAGTGGGGGCGTTTAACGCCCCCACCCCCCAGCAACTCGCGGGTTATTCGAGAGAAACTTCATATATTTAAAGTGCCGCTATTTTGACTTCCTTTTTGCCCCTGTGACGTCATCTTTGACCTGACCTGAAAATGACCTCAGTAAGAATTATAGATCTTATCCTTGTGTATCCTGTACCGTTTACCGCTTGTCGCTATCTTGCTTTGTTCTCGAGATCTCGCTGTCACTCCCGCTCGTAATAATGGACAGGTCATAAAAATGACCTGACCTGAGGTCAACACAGGGTGATAACCACTTTTTTATTATCGCATATGAATGACCATTGATCAGGCTTTAATCCTCATCAGACAAAATTTTAACTTTCAGTGGGGAAAATATCAAGGTCACTCTTTGAAAAATACGTCAAAAGGTCACGTGATCAAAATTTTCAAAAATTGAAAACCGAGATAGCCAAAATGTTTGTTGGTAGATTGTGAGCTGAGTCATATAAAGTTTTTATCATAGAAAACCAATAGTTTCTGAGTTATAAGCCGCCAAACATGGAGTTGCAGCGTGACCTCCAGGAATTGCCCGAGGCTATATCTCGTAAACCGTTGTTCGAAGAAAAAAATCATTGCCACAGCTGGCTTCCCCGCCGATTGCAACCCCTTACACCAATTTTCAACGAAGAATAAAATATGTGGGTGCAAATTTAATTTTCTATTTGTCGATTTGTCGTGGAACGCCCCAGTCTAACGTCTATGATTTGTCGTTTTTTGCCTTATGAACGCCAAGTTGTTAAACCTAGGTCAGATATGAGGAAACATTTGCGAAAAGTTTCTATAAGACTATCGAATGTGCCCTTATGGACACTGCATAGCTCGATACTGGTTCACAAATTTAAGTCTCGATTGATGAAAATTTACGTTATTCTGCATTATTGTGCGACGAATTGTGGAATGCAAGCTGTGAGAAGTGTAAAATGTGACTGATGCTACAGGTTGGCGTCGAAGAAACCCGGCCGGTCATGTCTGGGTGGCGTATTCAGCAGAGTATCGCTTTCGCTGTCGTAGTCTGAGAGAGACGAGCAGAAACGACTCTTATTGCCGCCGCGCAAACCGGCAGGTCAGGTTCTGAGGCGGGTCGGCAGCTCGGAGCGGCCGTCCGACGCTCCCGGCGTCAGTTGAAGGCGACGACGGACCGAGAACGGACGGCTTCACACACCCGGCTTACATGGTTCGACCTCTGGTGAGCACATACAGAGTGGTCCGCTGGCGGACCAACCACCTACTGAAACCCGGCTACGGGACATAGAGGATGTTAGAAAGGAATCATACCAGGGAGGACAGTTTTAGGCTATATTCGTTTGTCTCAAGCAATATCTGACTGTCAATGTGAACGAAAATAAGACGAATAAAATTCCGTTATTTTTCTACCGACCATTCGTTACAAGTAGGTACGCCATCAATTAATTTGCTCAGGCTAAAACTTTATTTGAAATACTTTTGACGGGATCGTTCACAGACTATTGTCTCAAAATCTAGTTACGCGTCGATATCTGAATTTTAATTAATGTCGCAAGCCTCTCTCAGTTTCAAAGCTTCTTGGCGCTGGGTAATAGCTCTCGTCTCCCTTTGCTTTATTTGACTTTGTACCTACTATTCAATATTTTCGAAATTTCGTACATGATGTAACTCCTTCAAAAATTTCACAGCCACATCCGTCCATGCTTTTCGGGTATTTTGCAACGAACGTTAACTTCTTTCAACTAATAAATGGCAAGTATCCTTCTCTTAAGAGTGGATCTTAACGTTTCATATAAAACGTTTAGGTTTTAACGCCGTGTCGCCCGTTGTTGAGCCAGAGCTTTGTACGTAAACGAGTGTGTTGGCCGCCCCGAGGCGCAGCAAATGGTTCTCAATCAAAGTTTCAAATTAATCGGTGACCTATGCTGTCAAGTCAGTGACCCAAAGGCTGGGGTCCGATTTTTGGTACCTAACTTCGGGAGAAAATAGCCACAGAGCAGCGGTTTTAGTATATGCACAACGGGCCAGGTGTGTTCAACCACGTCCAATGACACGCTGTTTACCTCAGAGCTCATGTCAAGGTCATGTCAAAACCGTTCAGTCCAAGTAGCTGGTCGAAGGAACTTGTGATGCATACCTATCATTCTAATCAGTAGCTCGTTCTGAGTTCATTGCTGGTTCTGGCCCGCGGTACCCCAAGCTGATTGGATGTTAAATTGATGAAAAATCCGATGATCCCAAAAGGGTCAACGGCCATATATGGAGATTTACCTATTATGTCATGTCATGTTCTACACATCTGTCACGTCATGTCTCATTATGTCGCGACATGTCCTATTATAACATGTCACATAATAGGTACGGCATGTCCTATTACGTCGTTTCTTATTATGTCATGCAAGGTCTAAAATGAAAGAATAGCTTTCAAGTTCTTATTTTGCAAGCAAATGGTAGCAAATTACGATTTTAATGCTTACCGAACAGTCTCCGATAGAAAGCGTCCGGCGCAAAATAATAAGTTCCCTTGCTTTTCAATATTGAGTTCGGCATAACAGGAGACGTATGTGACCGACTCGACCTCAAACGATTGGTGACCGCTATGATTAAAATCGAGATACTCGTAGACGTAGGCATTGTAAGGAGTCTGGAGCTTGTCACTTGTTGCAAGTTTCACCGCTTAGCGAAAGCTACCCTGCTGCTGGGAGCACTCGAGGTTGCGACATTGCTGTATCGCGCCGAGTATCACACATGACGTCACAGGTCAGTGATCTAACTTAACCGGTAAGAGCGGTTTGTGTCAAAATATACGGTTGAAATCAGGTACCTACTTATGTTGAATTTCATTCCTCTACATCTAATGCATTCTGAGCAATCGAGAAAAACGTCAGTGCCTCGTCCTGGGCAAACGTCATTACTTCCCTCGGCCGGAGGGGGGGGGGGAATTTAGGCAGTCACGCCAAGCGACCGTACTTCAGGAAAAGTTATAATGCTCGTTATAGCTACACCGACTGAATGGTCGTTTTGAAACTTTTAGAGCTTGATAAGGGTATTAGTTTGTATAAAACAAATGTCTCACAATCTCAATATCGATGGATTCATTTCATCGATTCGATAAATGCAATCATCTATCAATTCATCGATTCGATCAAAAGCATTTTACGACCCTTCCATACTATAAGTCAATTCGAGGAAATTTAACCGCACTTCTTTTGTAAGAAAATCGTTACAAACACTAAAAAAATCGGTAACAGGTAAACATGGAATAGAATCGAGAAATTGCACCCGTGGCCTCTCTTTAGGCCCCTGGGGTCGCCTAAGGTCATGAAAGGTTTTCATAGTTTTTCGACGATAGCTATAGTCACATGCTAGCCGCAGGGGTCGGCAAATGGTGGGGCATGCCCCCTTTGGGGGTACCTAATGGAGCCCTTTCGGTGGGGGTAATGAGGGATTCTGAGAAAACCTATCTTTTTAGAGTTAGTGGCTCCATTGATGGAACCATCGTGACTGTTGCATCCCAGGGCTCAAAGATAAGCCCAGGTCAAAGGCATAGCACACATTGATTAAATACCAATTTTCACGTAGCTGCTCGCCTCACCATCTCACCGCAGTTCCGTACAGTCGTACAAAAGCAGCTGCAATTTTTAACCGTCGCCCGTCTGTTGGCGTTTCCACAGCCGCTAACGTAAGGGGGAGGAGCCGATCGGACCCCCGCGGCCTCTCGGACTCTGAGATGGAGTTGTGCATAAAAACGACTATTGGAAGCCGCTGCTGCCCATTTTAAGGTCCTTACTCCTTGGTCATTTCGTCTCATTCAGGAGGTCAAAGACAAGTGTCGAGAAAATCGGGACCCGGTATAACTTCTTGAAGTGAGATTTTATGGCTCAAGATGACCTCCAGAAAAAGCTCATAGCCAATGATCATTATGGGTCCAGAGGCCAGTTTTACCGACAGAAAAATAGCTGCCTGCCGGAATTGTTCGCCTTAAGACCGCTTCACATACGGAGCGTAAACGGTAAAGCCCTATCCACTTACATGCTCATCGCGCTTACGCTCCGTATGTGAAGCCAATGATTACGTAAACGTAAACGCAAACGGTAAACCCCTATCCACTTACATGCTCATCGCGCTTACGCTCCGTATGTGAAGCGGTTTTTAGGCAAAAACTCCGGCAGGCGGCTATTTTTCTGTTGGTAAAACTGGCCTCAGGAATTCCCGGGCAGGTTCAGAAAAAAAAAATGATTGGCTCGAGGGTACAATTTGGTCGTGATCCAACGGCTTTTACGTGAGCTTTTAACGAAAAACCACCCGCCGCCCCTATATGTACGAGGGTTAAATGGGATATACTAAATGCTTTGTGGAGGAAGTGTCATGTTTTAAATTTAATGCATTGGAAATGCAGAAATACCCAAAGAATTCCAGAAAGGTATGGAATTTCAGTAAACTTGGTTCTGACAGCGATGGGGTCTGGTAGGTGAGGGTAATGGCCCTGCCTGGCGCCTAAAAAGGGGGCACAACCCCGAGTGACCTGCCGACCACTGTGCTAGAGCAATGAAAACACCTGGATGTGTTCAGCTCCACGATACAGATCGACTGATATGCAACATGACCTTTTCTGGTGAGGTCAAAACTTCAGTTTTTTTTAACTTTAGGTCAAATTATTGTTATTCATTCGATACGTCTCGACGAGAGAAAGAAAAACGATGCCGGAAAAATAAATGTTCGCGTTTTGAGCCAAGTAATAGTGACTGTAGAAAAGAAATCATTTTCCGGTAAAATGCCAGATTAACAGTTATTGCAATCTGAAGCCTATGCGGTTGACCTCAGGTCAAATTAGAATGAGAAATCATCAGAAAGCGCAATTAAAGAGCTACGAAATGTTCTTTCTGTGGCGCTGTAGTTCTATTCGTTTCCGATTTATGCGCCGAGTTGTACAAAATGAAGTAGGTGCGAAATTTAATGACCTCACCTTTTGGAGTTTTTAATTTTAGCCCAGTGGCGTTCCATAGTAAAATGACTTTAGCATCCCAAAATTAACCGTTCCAACCACACCAATAGTTTTCAGAAAGTGATGCCCGTGAGCGCTCGACGTTTTAGAACAGCAATGCATTGAGGCCGAATCTATATCAATTGTAAAAAAAATCATGTTTCATCACATTTGCAATATTTCCCTTTCTGGTTATGCTTTATGACTAGCGAAACTTTGGGAAAATCAGCGAAGATAATGTCATTTAGCACAGCATATAGCCGTCGATAATTCAAAGACGGCTTGCTGAAAACGCCGTCATACCTAACTATAACTCCAGCCGAATGGACACTTGACGAAGCCAGTGTTGCTTGTCTTGACGAATCAACATTTTCACAGAGACCGTTCAGAAAAAACGGCATACAGTTAAAATAACAAGAGGAACACGGACATAGTTACATACAGCTTATGTGGGTAACATGACATAATAAATGACACTACAATAGACAAATTCACGGGCATATTATGCATCCTTAGACCTTAGGTACACACAGGTGAACAATGAAAAGTTATCGAAATAAAATTGAATTTCTGCTGGATGCATTTTATCATGACTAAGGAACGCACAATATAAGTGTACAATTCAGTGGGCATTACCACTATCCTTTGATCGTGTTTCAGATGATAACACAGCTGCTGTGGCTGTGGCCGGCGCTGGCCGCCGCCGCGGTCTCCGATCAGTCTCTCTGTCGGCCGGCCGCCCAGTGTCTTCCCGCCGATGGCCTGCCGGGCGCCGGCCGCTCGTGCACGCTGCCGGACGGCTCGGCGGGCCGGCTGTGCCGCCTGGAGGTGCCCCGCCAGCAGCGACGGCTCGGTCTGGGCGCGCTGGCGCCGCTGGGCAGCGCGGCGTCCGACGAGCGGCTGCAGCTGTCGGCCAGTGCCGACCAGCAGCTGGCGCACCAGGCCGGCGTCAGCGCGCTGCAGCTGCTGCGCCAGGCCAACCAGCGCCTCCAGACCGCTGACGACACGTCCTCGCAGATGATCTTCTGGAACTCGCCGTCCAGCTCGAACGTGCTGGCGATGGGCTACAGCGCGCTGCAGCACCTCGAGACCATGAAGCAGATGCAGCCGCGGAGCCTGCGCCGCCGCCGTCAGCGGCGCCAGGCGAACCTCGAGCGGATCACCCCCTCCGACCTGAGCATCTGGAACTCGCCCTCCTCTGAGGAGGCGCAGATGAAGGGTGTCAACGCCCTCCAGGCGCTGCTGCTCATGATGCGCCAGGGCCAGAGCACCAACCAGCTGCTGCGGAGGACCCGGCGCCAGGCCGACCCGCACCTGGTGCCCGGCTGCACCCCTGAGCCGGAGCCGCGCTGCGACGCCGGCCACCGCTACCGCACCGCCTCCGGCGAGTGCAACAACCTCAAGCACCCACTCTGGGGCCGCTCGCTGGCCAAGCAGATCCGTCTGCTGGCCGACACGTTCGATGACGGCGTGTTCACTCCGCGGCGGCGCGCCAGGAGTGGCGACCCGCTGCCCAGCGCCCGCTTCATCAGCCAGCGCACCATGGACTCGATGGCCACGGAGGCGGCCGCGCACACGCTGTCCGTCATGCAGATGGGCCAATTCATCGACCACGACATCACGCAGGTGCCCATTTTCCGGCTGGACACAGGCGCCGGCATCGAGTGCTGCGAACAAAACGGCGCCCGACTGCCGAGCGTGCCGCGCCACCCGCTCTGCATCCCGCTCGACATCCCCGCCGACGACCCGTTCTACAGCCGCCACCGGCTGCGCTGCATGAACATGGTGCGCTCGCTGCCGGCCCCGGAGCCCGACTGCATCGCGCGGCCGGCCTCGCAGCTGAACGCGCCCACCCAGCTGCTGGACGCGTCCAACGTGTACGGCAGCACCGACGAGCAGACGGCCGAGCTGCGCTCCTTCAGCAACGGCCGGCTGCGCACCAGCACCAACCACATGCTGCCTGACAAGGGCACTGAGCCGGCCGGCCGCTCACTGGCCGGCGGCTGTCCGCACAGCCGCACCGCGCGCATGATCGGCGAGCCACCAGACGGCCGCTGCCGCGGCCACGTCTGCTTCCAGGCCGGAGACGAACGCGTCAACGAGCAGACCGGCCTGGCCGTGGTGCATACCGTCTTCGTGCGCCTGCACAACCACATCGTGGAGCAGCTGCAGCGCAACCACCCCACCTGGGACGACGAACGCCTCTTCCAGGAGGGGCGCCGCGTCCTGGGCGCCATGATGCAGCACGTCACCTACAACGAGTGGCTGCCGGCCGTCATCGGGCGCGAATTCGCGCGTCGGCATGGTCTGCTGCCGCTGCAGAGCGGCTACTCGACACTCTACTCTGAGGACGTGGACCCCCGCATCAGCACCGAGTTCTCCACGGCTGCCTTCCGGTTCGGCCACTCGATGGTGCGCGACAAGCTGACGCTGCTCGGCGCCGACGGCCGGGTCACGCACACCGTCAACCTCACGTCCACCTTCTTCGAGCCCAGCGGCCTGATGCGCTACGGCATGGCCGACTTTGTGCGCATGCTTACCACGATGCGCTCCATGCAGTTCGACATGAGCGTCGCCAAGGCGGTGCACGAGAAGCTATTTAACGCCGACCAGGATCACGGCCTGGACCTGATCTCGCTGAACGTGCAGCGCGGACGCGAGCACGGCATCCCGACCTACGCCAGCGTGCTGTCGGCCTGCACCGGCCAGAAGATCCGCGAGTTCTCCGACCTGCTCTCCGTCATGAAGCAGAAGGACATGCTGCGTCTGATGCGGGTGTACCAGGACGTGGCCGACGTGGACCTGTTCATCGGCGGCCTGGCGGAGGCGGCTGCCGACGACGCTCTGGTCGGCCCCACGTTCCGCTGCGTGATCGCGCAGCAGTTCTTCGGACTGCGCTACGGCGACCGGTTCTTCTACGACAACGGCGGCATGGTGCACAGCTTCACGCCGCGTCAGCTGCAGGAGCTGCGTAAGGCCAGCTTTGCGGGCATCCTCTGCGAGACGCTCGGCGCCAAGTACGGCGACGACTTCTCGCGCGTCCAGCCGCTGGCGTTCACTATGCCGTCCAGCAAGAACCCGCTGCAGAGTTGCCACTCGGCCGCCATCTCCCGGGTCGACTACAGTGTCTTCTGAGAGTGCGGAGGCGGCATGCCGGGATGTTCCCAGAAGTTCTAACAGTGTGCTATGGTTGCCATCCGTCCAAGTGTGTGAGCTGTATGTATGTGTGTTGCGACTTTGGACATCCAGTGGACTTTCGCCGGTAAAGTTTGAACGATGTCCGTTTGTAAGTACAGTGTTTGGGTTGAAACACACGCTCAGGAAAGTTGATGTTAGCGCTACGTGGCTATTTGTGTTGTGATGCAATGCACCGTGATACCTAAGCAGCTATCGTTTACCATCGACAGCACTCATGTCATCCACTTCCAGGGTAGTCTGGATGGTGCTTTAGTTACTCTGGCACGGTTAACTGTACTTTCGCCATTTTGCCGTCGGTGAATATCGGTCTAAAATTTCCTCTTGGAATAACGGAAATTCTTCCAGCAGTCACTAGTCGCAACATTGCTGATTCTTCCTGCTGAGATGCTCATGTATATTGTGAATCATCATCGTAACAACGGTCCTTGTATGTACATACATAGGTAATTTGTATAATAATGTGTGCACTGCACAGTCCTAAGAATGAATATATAATCCGTCACTACTATTGCTTTACCGATCAATTTAACATGTAGGACGTCTGGGCTGCTAGTTTTATGTGCCTCACTCTGCAATGGCTACATACCTATATATGATCTTAGGTAGCTCATCAGATTTGCTACTTAAATGTCCTTCATTCAAAAAGAAGTATTTTTTATTTTCATTTTTCCACTCACGAGTTTAATCTAAGGCAACGTGGAAGCAAAGCAGGCATGGGGTCGTGAACACCACAGCGCAAAACGCCCGTCAAAGCACTGTTTTTGACAGTGTCCCGTATACCTATGTATACTGTCGCTAGCGAGGTTGCCTTTTTGCGCTGCACAACCCGAGTAGATTTGCCTCAATAGCTATTCAATGCATTAGTCCTAATGCAGCCTAGAACCCTTGCAATAGATATTACCCTATCAGCCGATGCAACGGAATTCTCGGACATCAATATTTCAAACCGCCAATTGCGACATGGGATTCGCCAGATGTAGGTACCTATGCTTTCACCACAGTCGTGCACAAATATAAGTTTGTTTTGCAACGCCTTCGTGGCGGCTACGAGATCGGTCACTGTTCTAGATGCTAATCCCATGGCGGCCCCGGGTTGACATGCCTGAGAACTGGGAGTGAAAGTGGCGGGGTGCTCAACGCAAGACAAAGGTTGAGGTTGTATTAAATCATCCGCTTCTTTTAAGGAAAGAGCGAGAGAGAGAGAGGGAGAGAGGGATGGAGAGAGAGAGAGAGAGAGAGAGAGAGAGAGAGAGAGAGAGAGAGAGAGAGAGAGAGAGAGAGAGAGAGAGAGAGAGAGAGAGAGAGAGAGAGAGAGAGAGAGAGAGAGAGAGAGAACTACATAGGTATGGGCAATGTAAACCCCCGGTGGTTTGCTAGCTTGCGGAATATACCCAGCAGATCGTCACTCAGAAGTCAGAGCCCGAATGTCTCGCGCACCCTGTCCGCGCCGGTACCGAACCCTATCGGTATATATCAGGGGTCAGCGCTCGCGGACCGCTTTTGTGCCGTATCTACGCTAACGACCTTCCACTGTAGGCATACTGACGGCGCATGTATCGCACAGTACGCGGACTAGGGATGTCAATCGGATACCGACTTTTTGGTATACCCGACCGATACAAAACCGTGTCGTGTCGTGATGTCATCAAAATTTGAATAACTCCTACCTTTTTAACCAATTCTTCTAAAACTTGAAATGAGGGTGCACATACACTACCTACTTCTGTAGCATATTTTCCTTTTATCGATAAACGTAAAGTTTTGGACTTTTCATGATTCCCCCAGAAAATCAAATTAAAAAATGTGTTAAAAACTTTTTTTCCAAATCGAGCTACCCATTTCAAACATTAAGTAGAATCATGTAGGAAAGGATCGGGTAATTTGGCCGCTTTTTTTAGAAAACGATGTTTCTCAACATTGACGACACAATTCTGCACTCTCTCGACTCTCAAGTCTTAACGCTGGCAGGTGTCTCATTCATCTTGCTTTCCTGTGCAGTTACGCAGTAGGTAAACTGAAAATGATACAATAGGTATAGGGACATCCAAAAAGTTAATGAATTGACATACAAGTGATGTCGCTCGGTTCAGAAAGAGCAAAAACCAACATCTACCAAATTTAACCGAAAAATATTCACCGGTTTTCAAAATATACCTACCCTTTAACTTTTGCTTACTTTTTAGGACCTTCGCTGTTCCTACGACGTCATTTGGAAGCAATAACTTGGTATTCTTTAAGTGCGGCAGATGTTGCGCGCAAACAGCACACCTATATAATATACCACAACTGCTTCACAGAGATGCTAGTATAATATTTCGAAATCGCTAGATCTGCGCTGACGTCACAAATTCAGAGCGGGCATTGAAATGCATTAGCCCCTCTGAATCCAGTGCCGCAACTTTGAAATTATAGGTAGGTATAGGTCTCCGAATTAAAGCCTTTCTCGATGTTGTGAGTGCCCAAATCGGTAAGTGCGAGCCAGGGACCCCAATTTGGCTATCTCAACTCGAAACTAATGTTAAGGTTGGATGTTCACTTTAAAATACTTATATTTAGGTAAATTGTGACGCATTACAGTGGTCTGCAAAGCGGCCAAATTACCCCGCTAGCAGGGTTATTTAGTCGTTGGGGTGGGGCAATTTGGCCGGCGTTAGTTCGAGGTTGGAATTGTATGTTTACAGGCATGTCAGCTTCAGCGTCAGCAATGACGTGTGTCCGACGTGTGACGTGATTTTGGAGCTTGACTCGGTGTCGAACTTACGTTCGAACGACTTTGACGGTCTTGTCAGTGATTTTAACATTTTTGTGAGCAGCTCAGGATGCGATTTCTTTTCGCACTCTGCCCAATCATACAGTTGCATTAATTTTTCATAAAATATTTTCCTCATATGACTTATACCTAATAAGTGAAAGGGCATTATTCACACACAAAAAAAGTTTTTATTTTAGTCAAGGAATAGTCGACCCCTGTTAACTCAAATATTTGGCAATAATTGCAATAACTCAGCTCTTTCTTAAACCCTCACATCTCGTAGCCTTCTCATGTCCGCAAGTGGACAGTTTTCTCATGCAAACTGCCCCTCGAAGGCAGACTGTGCCGCAATGCCACCGCCGGCGGCTGTGAACGGTGAACTAAACCAGCTCGGCACCACGCACTATCAACCCAGCTTTCCCAGCATAGCGATCGTGAGTGCACAGCTAAGCTGCTCCGCTAGCCCCGGCCAAATTACCCCGCCGATTGCCATACTGATGTCCACAAAGTCGTTACGGTTACACGGAAATGTATGAAATTGCTCTTGAAAACGCTGAACAACCCCAAGAATGGTGCCACAATGTCGGAATTCGTTTACAGCCCAAATACTACATACCTACTATACACTTTTTGAACGGAAGTAAAAGTTGCCATTTTGTAATGAAATTCACATTTTTTATTTTGAATAGAATTACGAGGGGGAGAGTTTTGACATTTTTCCACGGGTTAGTTCCACCAGATCGCCCCTCACCGACTGGACTGCGCCCTGGCGTGGTATGTGTCGTTAGAGACCAGTAGCTTAGCAATACACAAGCTTGTTGTTTTATGATTGTCAGATTTTATTAAGGGTCACGTGAGGTCATATCGGACTCGTGACCACGCCATCATTAGATTTCCATCATACCGGGGACCAGGTGCGAGAGTCACGATGATACCAGTCGTATAATACCGATACAGAAGAGGCAACAATTAAGGAAGCAAAATGCGAAATAATAAAATAAATAAACGGCTTCAAGCACTATTAACTTCATTCAACGATTAGGTATACCTATATATCCCAGCATAAACGTTGCGTAGCAACATATCGTGTGGAAACTGGAAAACGCCATCGATTGAATCCAAGAAATCTTTACGACTAACTACTCTGAGCGAAGATATAATATAAAACATTTTATGTTTAGTGCTTTTAATACGCAGCCATCAACGCCGGCAGTCGCCGATATAAAGGAGGGAACGATAAGCGTAGCAAAATGCGAAATGATAAAATAAACAAACGGCTTCAAACACTACTATAACTTTATTCAAATATTATATCCTAGCATGAGATTTGCATAGCAGCATTGCTTGTGGAAAGCGCCTTCGATTGAATCCAAGAACAAATCTATAAGAATACAGTGAGCGGAAATATAAGATAAAGCATTCTTTTCATACACAGCTGACAGCTGTCAGCGCCGCCTGGCCGCCGCCGCGCCGTCCGCGATCGACGCTAGAGCACCTGGCGGCCGGCCGGCGAAATGGGGGCAGAACGACTCAGCTTACCCCGCCGCCGGGTGAGGTAACCGGACAAAAAGTCAGAGGACAAAAAATCAAAAGACAGAAAGCCAAATGCAAAAAGTCAAAAGGGATAAAAGTCGAATGGAAGAAAGTCAAAATGTATAAAAGTCAAAAGTCAAAAGTCAAAAGAGCAAAGAGTCAAAAGAGCAAAAAGTTAAAAAGGAGAAAAGTCAAATGTCAAAAGTCTAAACGGATTAAAGTCACAAGCAAAAACTTAAAAGCGGAAAGTCAAAACAGATAACAGACAAAATGTAAAAAGTAGAAATGGATAAAAGTCAAAATGTAGAAAGGCCAAAAGTCAAAAGTCAAACTGACAATAAGTCAAAGAAATAAAAGTAAAATGACAAAAAAAGTCGAAGAGACAAAAGTCAAATGATAAAAAAAATCGTCAAACGTCCCAGCTGTTATTACGTGTTTTTCAGATAATTTTTGAAAACACATCAATATAAAGACCTTTGCCCTTCAACGTGTGCAACATGCAATTGTTGATCGATTAATGCCTTCCAATCAAAGGTCAGATGAATGTCACAATTCGTCGGACTGGCAATTTTCATATAATCCTGCACGGTATTTCCACAACGAGACAACGCGTCTTATCATTGGCGTCGAAAGCAGGGGGACGGGGGGATACATTCCCCAGTCGAGGGATCCGGGGGGACGTCCCCTCCAAAAAATCCCCATAAATGTGTTAACCCGCGCACCGACGGGGGGGGGGCGGATATCCGCCCCCCCCCCCCTGAGGTTTTTCGCGAATAGCGGGAAAACCGCGGCGCGTAGCGCCGCGAAATTTGGTACGACTATTTCCTCATCAATTTTACACATGGTGTGCAAGTTTGAACCTCCTACCGTTCAAGGTCAGGTCACCAGGTCACTTTGAATGACCCAACCTCAAGTCACTTTTTTGCAACTTTGTCACCGTGCCAGAGCTACAGTAGATGTCGGAGGCCTTTGAAAGTCGCAGGATGTTATTAGGTCATTAGTAGCTACAATTTGTATATCTCGGAATTTTGATATCGGTGACCTAAGGTCAGGTCAATTTTGCGACCTCCCCATTATAAGTCAATGGGGGAAAATCAACTCCCTGTTTTTACCACTAAAACGGGTCGGAATGGCCCCATATACCATACATGACTTCATATACGATCAACCTTCGCTACCTTGAGGTCTGTTTTGCTGTTGGGCAGCTGTGAGGTCATGTG